ATATTCTCATGTGTACACGTATTATAAGCCTCTTTGGTTTATCTCCTCTAATTGTGTTCAGTCTACCTTAGTTTCACTCTTATTGTGGATTCATCCAGTTTAAGATTTCTATATTCACTCTAGTATAGAGAGAGTATATCAACAATATTCAAGTTCTTAGCTTCCTTCTTTGACCCCCACCTCCCATACATAACCTCTCCTTAGTGAGACTAGTGTTTCATAACATTGCTATATTTATATTAGGTTTATATTCCACACATAAGGGAGAAAATCCAGCTACCAACCTTGCCAACAATAATGCTATTAATAATAAAACATCATATTAAGAAATATAACCACATTAATCATATTAATATAATCCATTCTCTTGAAATTAACTGACATATGGTAGACCCTCAAACAATATCACCAAATAATGGCATGATGTGCATAAATTATGGAACACAAAAAATTATGCAATTTTAATGAACCCTGTTTGTTTGATTGGGAGTAGGAGAGAAATAAGAGCTATGCACCTATCTACACATACATATTTCCAGAGTCTAATCTTCCCAATGATGACATTGTGACTAATGGTACTACTTAAGGGTATCTTCATGTAAAAGATATGGACAGAACTTTTCTCCTTCAATTCCTCCATCACCATGGCAAACAGGATGTACATGATGATCACTTGGCTTACCCATGTGATAACAGAATAAGACTGGGCTGGACTAAAACATTACTGATTAAGTAAATCATAATTACTTCTTAAGACAAATAGAAAAATACATTAATATGTTAAAAACAAAAATCATGTGTATATCAGCTGGTGACATTTTAGTTGAGCAATTATTTTGATTTATAAGAGCAGCACTGCTCATACCTGTGCAACAAAAAACAGGGCATTTAATAAGCCCTGTACTATGACCTTCTTGATGTTCCATCTGAGGAAGGAGACACCCTGAGGCCTGACTGAACTCTCAGTCTCTGACACAATAGGCAGTAGTAGAAACCATTATGATATCTTGTCTCTGATTATTGGATGCTCATACAAAACAATATGAGGTCCATAAATTTGATCAAGGTTCTTCCTGAGAATCTGAAACTCCTGGACTCCTCCAAGTACTTTTCTTAACTCCACTTATACACTCTTATTTGAAATACCAGCATCACAGGAAAAAACTATTTGGATTCAACTTTCCCCATTTCAACTAATCTAATTTATTGAAATGTTATACTTTATTTTTCACTGACCTTATTCTTCTTCACATACAGTCATTTATTTGTTTCTGCAGAAGAATTAACATCAAAACTTTTGAGGATAGCAAAATCCATGAATGCTCAAATCTCTTATACCAAATGGTGGAGTATTTGCATGTTGTTATGGTACCTGCATGAATGTTTCATAGACTTGGTCTCTGGCTGGTCCATGTCTATATCTGGTTATGGATACCCTATGTCTAGGCTGATTTAGTTGGCATGGTGTTTAAGACGAGATAATTTGTTCTGCACAAACACATGACTCAATTTCCATGCTACTTTTCAAAGATGACAGGCACAGTACTGACAGACTGCCTCTTTGAGAGGTAATAGAACCTTGTGGGCTCTGACATATTGGATAGATTAACTCACTGATAGATTAATCATTTGATAGCATTATTGGAAGATAATGGAAACTTTCAGAAATGGGACATAGTAGGGGGCACACTTTGGAGGCTACATCTTGTCAGGGGTCCCTCTCTGTCTTTGCTTTCTGTCCATTATGCACTTAGCATCCTCTGCCATGTGTAACCACCACCATGATATTCTACCTTACCTCAGTCCCAATGCAATGATTCCACTCAACCTTGGATGGATCCTCACTAACTCTAAACCAAAATAAATCTTTACTCTTTTAAGTTGTTTCTCTCAGGTATCCATCACATCAGCAAAAAGCCTAACACAAATATCCTACACATATTCTCCTGTATCCTTTAAGTCATCTCTGAAAGACTTGCCTTGCTGAAAAAATGTAAATTCTGTGTAAGTAGTTCTTATACTGGGCTACTTAGGTAGCTCTTTTGACAAGACAAAATATCTGAACTTGTTTATTACACAATCAATTCTTTTTACAAATAGCTTCAATTTGAGTTCAGTTGAATACATCTATGAAAAATTCAGAGAACAGAAGACTGGCTATGTTTATATCATATGAGAAAAAGATGTTCATGTTTAATAAACTGTGTAACTCTCTAAATTGTGATTCAATACATTTGTGTTAATTTTTCTCCATTGGTTTTGTGTTTTCTATTTTGTATGTGTGTTCATGTAAAAGAAACAGGAAAGGAGCCAGAGACAGGGAAATGAGAAAGACACAGAAACAAACAACAGTCTGGATGTCTCCTCAGGTTTCTGGGTAGTGAGAAATCCAAGGATCTGAATTTCAATGATTTTTACTTGTCATATTTAATCTGCCATGTGACACAGAAGCCACTGAGATATCTGATCAGACTATCATTTTTTGCTAATATATCTAATTTATATCTGGGGTATACTGTTTTTTGCTCATCTGCAACCACTTTTCCACATCAGCCACATCCCAAGCCCTTTTTGCTTTAGTTTGTTTTTGATAATTATTGGGTTTTTGCTTTGTCCAGACTTTGCCTCCTATTTCTGACTTCTCATAGCTTAGAATAAAGACAAGTACCACTGGCTTTAACACATCAAACCTTTAAAAGACACTTTTCTTCACCAACATGGTTCTCTCCTATCATGGTATTAACAACCACTGTCTGTGTCTGTTTTTTGATACCCTATGTTTACGCTGCTTTGTAGGCATGGTGCCTTAGACAAGAGATAATTTGCTCTGCACACTATCCATGACTCTGTTTCCTTGCTACTTGTCAAAGAATGACAGGTACAGTGCAGAGAAACTCCTTTTGTGGTGTCTTCTGGCAACCTGATGTATGATATTACAATCTGCCATAAAGAATCAATTCACCTGCTCAGCACCTCTGTCTTCAATGTTCTCAGTCACTGTGTTCCTCCTACATGACTATTTACATCTTGTGATTCCTTACTTTTCCATTGACATACCCCCTAAATGTTCTCACATATTTAATTGTTGCTACCAAATCTCATGACATTGGGAAATGATAATTAGACAATAAAAGTTTACACATAATTGATTAGAGGTGTATTTATTTGATTTTCAAGTAATATTTTGCCCAAATGTTGTTTAGCCATTGTAATTTGGAAGTGAATAGTATTAATGAAATTATGACTGATAAACATAGGGACCACACATTATTTGGGCACTTTGAAAATGTCTTAATTATTTGATAAATTTTTAATATGTTAAACACTATATACATGTATATATATCAATATATGACACTATATATATCCTCTAAAGAAAAGTAATGATTTATTTTCCAATTCAAAAGAAAGAAAACATTTTATTTTCCTTTTACAAAACTGAAGTTTCCCTAATATCAATTGCTGCTTCTAGCATCTCATCTAGGAAATAAGACCAAGGAACAATAATAGATTTTACATAATACATTATCTTACAGATGATTGGCACATAGCTGGTAACAAAAAAATATTAATTGGGTTACCGAAGGAGGCTACCACACCTAATGAATTCCTCTCCCAAGTCTCAAATAAGGAGAAAGCAAGGTTTTTGTTGTGTTTGTGCTCCCATAACTAGTTTCAGTATTCAGTGATTACAGGGCATATGGCTACCAGGATTTGGAGTTAAGAGGAAACTTGAATTCAGCAATGTAAAGTCAGAGGGGAACCTTCTTCCTTACAAAATCCTCCAAAAGTTGCATTTAATGAGCTGGTACACAAGTTGTCTAAGTTTTCCAGACTGTCAAACTTGAGTTATACTCTTATATTAGTCTAGTCAGTTTCACATAGTTTTTTTTAATAAATATCATTAAAAGTTTAAACCAAACAAAAATATAAGTCACTTCATGACTGGGTATCTCTCTTTCAACTAATACTCCATTTATGAGCGAAAAATTTAGGGAAAAAAGAAAGAGTAAGTAGCATGTTTGGTTCCTACAAATTGTCAATACCTTTTTCAGAAACAAGTCACCACTGTAGCTGTACCTGAAAATCATTTGCGAGAGCAAATGTGGCCCTTGATATTTTTAAAAAATACATAAGAGTTGAAGGTGGAGCATTCAAATCAATCTCGGTGCCTTGTTCAGTTATATATACCTATAACACCTTCCCATGGAGCGGCAACCAGAAATATGGAGCATATATACTTTATCTCCATAAAAAGGCATTTATTTGTGGAAAGCTGGAAATAATATACTCTAAAAGAATGGGCTGAGAACAAATCCAAAATATGTTTACATATCATAGTAACTTGCCACCAATTAAACAGTAGCATCATCAGTATCTATTCCATTCTTTGTGAGCAAGACTTAGGAAACATCTTCTTATAGAAGAGAATTATTTTGAGAAAGAAAGAAAAAGAAAGAATGAATGAAAGAAGGAAGGAAGGAAGGAGGGAGGAGGGAGGGAGGAAGGAAAAAGACAGGGAGGGAAGCAGAGAGGGATGAAGGAAGGGAAAGACATTAGGAGGGAGGAAGAGATGGTAGGAGGAAGGGAGAGAGGGTTGGGCAGAGAGAGATCTTCATGTTTTTCCCTGTGAAGGAATGAAACAAACAAAATAAAAACATGAATGGGAGCCTATTTTGGTGATTTACCCTCATATTCTGTAATGAGGTCACATGTATTGCATAAACCAAACAGAATAAGACAGTGCCTTGAATATAGAAGAAGGCATTCATTTAAAAGGCCCATAAACTGATCATAGGAACAAAATTATCTCAGTTATGAGACCTTGTTTTTCCAAGAAATCAAGGTATTCATGATGTTTTCTGTGAGATACTTGATGCTGCAATGCCTGTGATTTTCTACACCACCAAAGGTGTGTAAAAGGCACTTGGCACACAGTGACATCCAGACTCAAGAGACTCACCTCCTGGTCCTCAACTGAACACTCCACTCCCTACACCATGTGCTACTATGGCAACTACTATGGTGGCCTGGGCTATGGCTGTGGTGGCCTAGGCTGTGGCTATGGCTGTGGCTATGGCTGTGACTATGGCTGTGGCTATGGTGGCTATGGTTATGGCTGCTACCGCCCACTGTGCTGTGGAAGATACTGGCCCTATGGCTTCTACTGAGGAATTTCCACAGAGGCTTAGCCTGTTGGGTATAACCTCCTGCTTTACTGAAAGTAACTTCCAAGTTTCTTCACAAGAGAAAAATTTAAGTGTCTTCAAAAATACTACTGAAATATTACTGAAAAAACATACTGAAGTAAACCAAAAGAAATGGAAGTCAGCATGCATATTCTGACTCTTTATTTTCAATTTGTGTGTTTGTAGCAAAGTTTTGTGCATTATCTTCATAAGGCTGTGTAAAATGTGATCAAATTGTGTAAAATGATAGGTATTATTAAATAAACTACTTAATTGCAAATATTGCTTTCCTATAGTTTCACTAATTATTTCTACCATTTTACATCTTTGTGTATTTCACATCAGAGCATTTAAAGTTTTGTATACAGGAATACCTTCTGTCTTTGCAATATGTTTTGATTACATCAGCAACTCTTCAGCCTTTGTGATTTTTTAAATTAAAATAGCTTGTCTATAGAACAACTACAGGCTTTATCATATTGAAAAAATCATCACTAATGATATTCTTTCTCCCTTACCAATATAGCACTCCAGGGGTATTTCAAATATACCAATTTATCTATTTAGAAAAAATGCATGCCCATATATATATATATATATATATATATATATAGCAAGATAAATGTATCAAAATGATGATATATTTGCTATGCATAAAATTAGCATTAGGTTACTTTCTTTTTAACCCAGATGTCTAGTCTTTACCAAATGTATACATCCAATTATACTAATTTTCTCTAGAATCAAATTTTCTCCATCATTTAAGTAGTTAAATTCATCTGGGGAACTCAATCTGACACTGTTGAATACAATGAAATGCTGATAGAAAACAGTGAATGAAGGGAACAGTATTGTAAAGATGTAGATAGTGTGAAAGAGTGACTTGAAATCTGTGTGGTTCTTGATTCTAGGAGCCAGGCATGAGGATGCTGGGGGAAAGAGTAACCATCAGAATTTGGGATGGTTTTTTCATGGCAGCAAACCACAATTGGAGGCTATGATGACATAATCTTACTGAGGATGTGGTGGGGGATATGGAACTTATCACAGAGCCAGGTTTCTCCATATGTTATTAGTGGGTCAGTTTCATATGAAATCAAGATAACAATTTGATCACATGATAAACTGAGAGCACACAAGGGAGGTATGAGGATAGGTAAGACACTCAAAAAACAAGATAGCATTTGTTGCCCTCAATGCAGAGAAACTAATGCAGAAACTTTAAGGCGATAGAGGCCAATAGGAGAAGGGGATCAGGAACTAGAGAAAAGGTCAGTTCGAGAAAAATTAATTTAGAAAGTAACACTTATGTACAGGAAAGCAATGAGAGGAATCTCACACTAAAGCTATCCTTATCTCAAACAGCAAAAACCCTTGTTCCTTCCTATTATGGCTTATACTCTCTCTACAACAAAATTAGAAATAAGGGCAAAATAGTTTCTGCTGGATATTGAGGGTGTAGGGGGGAGAGGGAGGGGTTGGAGTGGGTGGTAAGGGAGGGTGTGGGGGCAGGGGGGAAAAATGACCCAAGCCTTGTATGCACATATGAATAATAAAATTAAAATAAAATAAAATAAAATAATAATTTGAAAATTAGATGGAAATTTCATCCATATCAAAATGATGAGAAAATAATCACTGGACTTTAGGACCTTCTAAAAAATAAGCATCATTAACTGACAAAGACAGAGGCCTAGCTGCTATAAGTTGGGTCCAAAGAGGTTGACAGATGCTTGCTTTTTTGTGTGTTAGATCTTGTTTGAATTAGGGTAATCAGACTTTATTTTTAGATGAATTCTTACTTTGTTGCTGAGGTGGGCCTAGAAATTCTGGGATCAAGTTATCCAGAGTTGTTGGAACTATAGGCATGCTCCACCCCATCTGTCTCAATCAGACCATTTATAATAGCCTAGCAGCAACAATGACAAAACTCTACAGTGATATACAATATTGTAGTCTCTGCATCCTCTAATATTTTAACAAAAAATGTTAACTTCATGGACCACTATGGAATTATTCAAAGAAATAGCAGTTTTAAAAGGTACAATGTACTCAGCATGGAAATAAAACAATGAAATCTCTTGAGTTGCTGGGATTACAGACAAAAACCACTGTTGTTTGTCTACAAATAAATTTTTATTTAAATGTAAATTAACTTATAATTTTCTCTTTATTACAATGTGTTTTATATTGTTCAAAATGTTGACTAGTCAACTGTCATTAATAATATTTTTGTAAAACATATTCATTTAACCTTTATAATCATATGTATAATACATTTAAAAGGATTTTTATGCAGTACAATGCACAGAGAATTTTTTTATCTATTTGAGTGACTAATCAACTCAACACCATCTAACAAAAAGAGAATCCTTTCCCCTCATGGCACCCAACATGAAATTTTTTTTATTTTGATAGAGTTGTCCCTCTGTATCCATGGGAGATTAGTTTCAGGACCCCTTGTGGACATAAAACTCCACCAATGCTTACATCCCTTAGTAAAGTTGTGTAGTATTGCATATAACCTATGCATAGCCCACCTTATATGTTAAATCATTTCTAGATTACTTTTACTACCTAATACAGTGTAAATACTAGGTAAAAAGTTGCAATGCTGTGTTGTGTGGGGAGCAGTGACAAAGAAAACACATCTGTACGTATTCCACTCAGATCCAGGTTTTACCCTAAGATTTTCAATTCAAATCTGGCTGAACAAGAAGGTAGGTACTGTACATACAAAGTATCTATTCTATGTCTTTTTTAAATCTTTATTTTTCCCTACAAACATTTCTTTTCTTTTTTCTATTCTATGAGTTTTAGTGTACTATGTCTTCAGTACCAGTTAGCCTTTAGATTTTTGGAATTTTTGTTTCGGTTCTGTCTTTGGTTGTCCTAGAACATATGACTTAATTTGAAACACTCATTGTTTATCATGTTATTGTTTTGATACTAACTTTTGTAATTAATTTTATTTGATAAAAAACCCAAAGTTGCTCAATATTTGTAATATTTTAGGGCTTTATGTATCTCAGATTGTGATCAGTTTTCACATAACTGCTCCATGTGCTTTTTCAAATACATTTTCTGATGCTGGGTTTAGTTAGTTTAATTCTTTGGTCAAGATTATTGATTTCATAGTTTGGGTTTTTTGTGTTCTTGCATATTATTTTTATTTTTGTTAGCTCCTTCCTGTTATTAAGATGTGTATTTTATTATAATAATTATACTTTTAGAAATCCTTTTTGCCATTTATTATGGCATGTTATTTAAATCATGTTGAATAAACGTTTCTTAGTTTTTCCTGATGGATTGGCCTCTGTATGATTACAACCTTTTTCCTTTATTTCTAACTATTTTTATGGCCCTAAATTTTACCATGCCTGATACATATCTAGCATAACTACACTGCTTTTCCTTACCTTAAGTTTGCAGCATACCGCTTTCCATTTCTGACTTTCAAACATCCCATCACATGATATAAGTTTGTCTTTTTGAATCACTGTATAGTTTGGAATTTTACTTTTTCCTTGGTTTGTATTATCTGCATTTTAATGGAAATATTTACTTTACATTACTGACATATTTGGGTTTTGACCTACCATTCCTGTATTTGTTTTATGTTTGTCTTAATAGTTTTTTTCCATTTTCCCTGTTTTCCTGACTTTATTAAATTAATGTAATACTTTATATTCCATTTCCCCTCTTGACTTGAAAATCATCTGTTCTTTTATTATTCTTGTACTGGTTCACTAGAGAATAAAATAGGTATTTTTTTCTTACTGCATTTTAACATAACAGCATTTTACTACTTATATAGTCTAGAGCCTTAAAGCACATTTACTAAATTATACACCTTTGTATCTTTTGTGAATTATTTCAAGCATGGTGAATCTGCATATATGTTATATCCCATGGAGATGATAATGATGATGCAGTATTTTATATACACAATACCTATTTGTATTTGCCCATATAAATAGAAGTATTCATTCATGCCTTGCTCCTCACACTTTAAATTTATTTGCTTCTTTCCATCAGAAATCAAAGTTTTCTGGATAAAGAATACTAACGTATTCTTTAAGTGTAAGTATATTAATGATACAATCTCTTTGTAGTTTTTGACAAAAGAAGTATGATTAATTTTTCTTAAGATATATTTTCACTGGCAACTCTTTAACAAAGAGCATTGCTTTTTAAAAAACAAAGAAATTTCTTTTTTGCATAAATAAAGTATAGGGAATGATTTGCACATGATTAGATGAACTGCATTCCCTTAATAATATTATTTGCATATCAAGAAAATACTAAGTTTGCCAGGCACCAGTGGCTCACGCTTATAATCCTAGCTACTCAGGAGGCAGAGATCAGGAGGATTTCAGTTCAAAGAAAGCCAGGGGAAATAGTGAGACCCTATCTCAAAAAACACTTCACAAAAAAAGGCTGGCAGAGTGGCTCAAGGTGTAGTCTCTGAGTCCAAGCCCGAGTACCGTAAAAAAAAAAAAAAAAAGAAAGAAAAGAAAAAAAGAAAGAGAGAAAAGAAAATACCAAGTCAAATGGTAATGGGAATTCAAAAACAAAACATGAAGGGTATTTTGTACAGGAGAAGATTCAGTTGAGAGAAACAAGAACTCAATCAACCACTACATGTTCTGGAGTAAAATGTTTTCCCTACTGCTCAGAGTTACATTGCTGTCTCAGTAAGTCAGGAAGTTGTGAAAACCACAGGTCATCCTCAGGAAAGTAATCAATATCTCTTATGAAGCTCACATATTCTAAAAGGAATACATGATCCTTTCCCTGTTATCTGATAATATGGCTTTTGCTTTTTTTAAGCAATCTTGTTCAATTTTGGCCAAGAGCATGTCATTGAAATACTTTACCTTGAAATGCTTCTAGAAGAATACCCTGAGAAATGTAATTTCCTGTTCCTATAGTAAATGAAAGAAAGTACAAAGTTGAAAATAATATAGAACTGCTTCAGA